TGTGAGTATACTTACCTATACCAGTTTAATAGAACAGAGACAAAAACCGGAGACTTCCTTAGAATAAAAAAAAATTTACCAGTAATTTTACCAGAATTTTAATTACGTGAACTTAAACATATTATTATTAATATTTAAATTATAAATGCAATGCCTCGTTTCCAGTAAAAAGTGTCTCCGGTTCTCTACATTCACCATACGAAACACAGCAGCATTAAGCTACTATTTTACGCTGGTATTCTGTGAGAGCGTGGTCCTTCCCCGGTCGAGCCGACCCATTCGTGCTACAACTATACTTCTAATATAACTGCAGCATGGCTCTACCACGTACAAAATATTAGTCAACAAATTCCGGAGAAATCACATAAGAAAATACAAATCCGTTTATCTGTTTTTTTGTTCTGTTACTATGGTAAACCTATATAATATAATATAAATAACTTAGCGTAACTGTTCAAAAATCACGGGGTTACTTATAAAACATGACTTTCTTAATAAAAAATTATTTATCGATCCGCAAGATCCAGAAAAACCGCGTAACTAACATAACATACAAAAAACAAACAGTCGAACTGAAAACCTTCTTTTTTTAAGTCGTTAAAAATGTAGACCATGTGAAAAAAATTCTAAGGAAGTATATTTACGCAATAGACATTTTTATTAAATTAACAAGACTTTTAAATTCACGTAATTAAAGTTCTGCTAAATTTACTGGTAAATATTTTTACTTATAAGGAAGTCTCCAATTTTTGTCTCTGTTCTACAAACTGTAGGTAAATATACTCACCATGTTCCGACCGCTAACAGTGACAGCAACACTACTGCTAATCGATAGACAAAAATTAGAAACCAATCAAAAATATTTTTATTTCTATTAAATATTAACTTTAGAATTTAATTTGGACAAAAAGGCGATAATGTATCCGCGTTATGATTTTTAATAGATGATAAGTGTAGACGTCTATGGTAGATGTAGGAGTATGCCTGTATAAATATTTGATAAAAGTAAACAGTATATACATATTTGAATTGCTGAGTGACATAGCGAGAGATATACCTCCCTTTTGATGGGTTGTTGTTTTCGTATAACTACTGGTAAACCACCGGCAAAGTAACAAAAGTTCACACTAAAATGAAAAAAAAAATCGATACTCAAATAGTGGTGTGATCATTATCGCTGATACGATATCGTTTTAAGAGCATTTAAATATACTATGTTGCAATCGTTTTAATGTTGATGAGTCTAAGTCGAAAACCATGACATCCTATTAAGGGGATATAGTAAGTCAGCTCAAATTCTAATTTCTCCCCCACTTCCCCGCGCGTCGTATGCTATGTACCGTTTACATGTTTGTAATCACTAATACTGTAAGTAGATAGGTCGTTAGATACTTATTTCATTAGGTTTATCATATTTATGCCTGTTTCTTAACGCCAACCCAGTCAATTCTTATTTTTATTACGGTTATTTCCCATTTTAATTTTACGTCGTCCTGTTGCGTAATGTGTATTCTGATCGTAAGCGACACAACTTCCCCCTCCAAAAGCCGAAGCGATACTAAATGGGCGGCAGGAAACAAGCTTCAAGACGCCGATAGTTTAGGTAATTTCTTTATACAGTGAAAATAATGGTATTTAAAAAAGGTAAATAACATAAGCCCTGCTTTATAGTTAGTTCAGTTAGTATGCAAAGTTTCATGAACTTATTTAAAGTATTTTATGAATAACAGCGGTTTATTGTTCAGTTTGGAGGTAACTTTGGATTTTTTTTCTATCGAGAAAATTTTCGAAACGGAATCCGGAACGGAATCGTGTTTTCGTCTAACATAGTACTTAACATTAATCCTCAACTTTACCATATATTTATTTCAAAATTAATGCTGCAATATTTTCGGCATAACGGAGGATCTTGTTAAGCCATTTGAGGTTATATTTCCCCTTAAAGTCCACTGCCTAACAGCCTCACCTCAGATTGGCTCATAGGAGGATATTTGCCATAGATGCCACGCTGGGCGGGCCGGTTGGGGTTGGTTGGGTGGTTTTTATTATTATGAATCAGGAGGATGCTCCTGCCCATCTCTTATCTTTGTCAGTGCACTCTGTCGCCTCTAACGACACGCTCGCAATGATATGGGATAGATAGATAGATATGGGATATTATCTGACGCCGACACGGCGAGCTTAAAACTAAAACAAATTTAAATATCTTAAAATCTAGCTTGATATATACATAGGTGTGAAAGCATGACATATACTTTGGCAGACATTCGAATTAGATTCAGAATCAAAATATTACTAAGGTATGACAATTATTTATTTATGTTTAATTGTACATCTTAATAAAAATAATTACAAAGAGTTTTAATGCCTTTTAGCATTCTCTCCCAGTCAACGCGGGATGTATGGAAATAATGTATAGGTGACAATGATAAAAATAACATCATTGTAAATGAGGAAAGAAACGTAATCATTATTAAAGTATTCATGTACCAATCGTTTAAAAGCAGTCTTATTAGGTGTTTTTCAAAGAATTGTAGCCGGAATTGTGAAGGATTCTCCAACGAAATTTGTGAAATTTATTGGGAAACTTAATTTATAATTAGTCGAGGAACGCAAAGTTCTATCATGCGTTGAGGAAAAGTATTGAAATTTGTCCTTGAGATAAGAAAAAGTGGAGTGGATCATTAAAGATAAAGAAGAGAGAAGTAAAATTCTAGAGTTACGCCTTTGTTTGACAACAAGCCATTTAAGGCGAGAGCAATAGTGAGAAATATTATCACACATAGCTCTCACTTTTAAGCATTTATATTACATTTTTAATTTTTTTTTGTATTTAAGATAATTAATTAGATATATTATATTGTTTTATTTTATTATAACGAGATTACACTTAATTAAATAGTTTCAATATTTCGCGAAATTATTTAAATTCGCTTGCATCTTACAAATTAAATGTTATGAACGCGTATTTTTCAATAGAAATAAACGAGCAAATATCAGGTCATATCGTTGCAATAACAATCTACAAGCGAATAATCAACTTATTTTCAAAGATTTAACGAACATTTTATGTAAGCCGTGTTGTGAAGATATCGCATCGCTAAATAGCTTTATCATTTTAAAACACCGTTGCTATGTCTACGTAACCATTGTTTGTCTCTAAAATAAAATATTTGTCAAATATTATACTGAATATTGATTCATAAATATAAAAAAAAAACACTAAATAGGTAATCATAGAGTGACTATTTGGTAAGAGATGCAGGAAGGCGGTAGATGTAGGTTGCTCAGGACTGTGCTTTGTGGCATTCCTTGAGGAGATCGTATGTTCAGCAGTGAATTTATGAAAGCCTGTAATAGTTTTTGTGCAATTAAAAATACTTTTTTGTACAGTATAGGGTGACAAACGAGCACACAGTGCACCTGACGGTACGTGGTTGCTGTGGCCCATAGACATCTACATTTATCCTCGAAAACGGATCAAAATGCAGGTGCGTTGTCACATTTAAGGACTAAGATAGAATGCCTTGTTTCCAGTAAAAAGTGTCTCCGGTTCTCTATACTCACCATACGAAACACAGCAGACCTTCACATTAACCCTTCAATTCCCCCAAAATTCCCATGCAGTCGCATGCGTCCGTCAAATCCCGAGCGGTCGCATGCGACCGCACCCACCCACAGCACTTTAAGCCATTAAAACTTATATTTAGAGACTACTTTTCTATAAAGGAGTTTGGCATTATAGAATCTATACAAAATTCTCTATCCTGTGGTCTGTGGTATTTTTACCTACTCTATCGTAAAATTGCGCCATTTTCGTATGGTCGGCAAATGTCGTAAATTGACAGTAGAATAAAAATACATATAGTAACTGACTTTTGTTTAGACCACAGGATAAAACATTTCGTATAGATTCTATAATGCCAAACTTCTTCACAGAAAAGTAGTCTCTAAATATAAGTAGTTATGGGTTAAAGTGCTGTGGGTGGGTGCGGTCGGATCCGACCGCTTGAATTTTGACGGAACATCGCCTTGGTCGGATCCGACCGTGTGCCCATTGAAAGGTTAATGCGTTTGTGTTTCGTATGACTTCTTTTACTGGTAAAGAGGCATTCTATCTTATTCTTCAAGATTGAAAACGTATCTACATTTTGATTATTAATGGAGGATAGATAGACTTACGATCAGGTTAACGGACTTTTCGTTTGTCACCCTTATTAAAAAAGACACACAAGACTGTATGGGCATGAATCTCTTTGCCTTAAAAAATATAAATAGTGCGACTCACGTGTGGATGCTCAGGGTTGCCAACTCTACGTCTTTTTAAGTAGATCTTCATATTTTTTCCCTTTCCTGCAAACCTACGAACTTCAGTTTCAGAATTAACGCATTTTTATCAAATTCTACAAATTTAACAAATAATATGACTCATTAGGCTGAAAGGGCATCATTTCTAGTATTCGAGAAAAATAATCAAAAAAACATTCCGTTTCATACTAACGCATAGTGGTTTCGCCAGCTCGCCACACAATAATACAAAGTGTGCATTCCATAGAGCTGTGTTGTGGCTCACGTATATTTCAAAAATAAGAAAAGGCGATTCGTCTTAAATGTTTCCTTTATTGATCCAATTAGCACAAAGTTTTATAACATTGCCACATAGCAGTACAAATGTTGAGCGTCTGTTTTCTGCGATCAATCTGATGAAAACAAGCATCAGAAATAGACTTTTCACCGACATGCTAACAGGATTACTTTTTACGAAAAGTGGCTTAAAAATAAACCGTGAGCCTACACAAGAACACTATTAAACTAATGAATAACATTTAAACAACTATTTAATAAAAATATGTATAAATTTAATTTGCCTGATGATAATGAATAATTTAATTTAAAAAAAATATTTTTTCAATTTCGCCGACCCTAACCTTTTCATTTGTATCCCGATAAATTCATATTTTAATCTATGCTCTTCATTTAACTCAAAAACATACGTAAATCTACGAAATTTCCAAATTCAATATTGTACTAATTGTACGTATTTTTCTAATGTGACTTACGCCTATTTGAAAATCTGAGTTGGCAACACTGTAGATGCAGTAGTGGGTGTGGGGCGGTGCGGTGCGGCTCTGGGGCGGTGCGGTGCGGCTCTGGGGCGGTGCGGTGCGGTTCTGGGGCGGTGCGGTGCGGCTCTGGGGCGGTGCGGTGCGGCTCTGGGGTGGTGCAGTGCGGCTCCGGGGCAGTGCGGTGCGGCTCTGGGGCGGTGCGGTGCGGCTCGGCCTCGGGGCGGTGCGGTGCGGCTCTGGGCGGTGCGGTGCGGCTCTGGGGCGGTGCGGTGCGGCTCTGGGGCGGTGCGGGGCGGCGGTCAGGCGATGTAGGCGCGCACGAGCGTACGCACGGCGGCGCGGCACAGCGGGCACGCGGCCAGCGCCGCGCCGCAGCTCGCGCACGACACCAGGTGCCCGCACGGCAGGAACAACACTGTAGATGCAGCAGTGGGAGCGGTGCGGCTCGAGGCGGTGCGCTCGCGGCGGACGGGCGAGATAGGCGCGCACGAGCGCGCGCACGGCGGCGCGGCACAGCGGGCACGCGGCCAGCGCCGCGCCGCAGCCCGCGCACGACACCAGGTGCCCGCACGGCAGGAACAACACTGTAGATGCAGCAGTGGGAGCGGTGCGGCTCTAGGCGGTGCGCTCGCGGCGGTCAGGCGAGATAGTAGCGAACGAGCGCGCGCACGGCGGCGCGGCACAGCGGGCACGCGGCCAGCGCCGCGCCGCAGCCCGCGCACGACACCAGGTGCCCGCACGGCAGGAACAATACTGTAGATGCAGCAGTGGGAGCGGTGCGGCTCTAGGCGGTGCGCTCGCGGCGGTCAGGCGAGATAGGCGCGCACGAGCGCGCGCACGGCGGCGCGGCACAGCGGGCACGCGGCCAGCGCCGCGCCGCAGCCCGCACACGACACCAGGTGCCCGCACGGCAGAAACACCACGCTCACCTGCCACACGCACCACCCGCCATTATAGCCCATTCACACTTCGACATGTACACCAGCGAGTTTACTTATAGGGCAGTTGACACTAAACGGTTAAGCGGACAGTGCCGTTCAAATGTCTTCGTGGCGAGTTTAGTTAAAAAAGTACAATTTTATATTTTGAGGGTAGAAAGCGAACACGTTGCGTCCTGTTAACTTATTCACTGGTTCACCAAGCGGTCAGTTTAGTTGCGGGTTGCGGGAGACGCACGGGAGGGCAGCACTTCGAACTTGACTCACCGATAAATAGACCAACCGGCTTTCCCGCTCAACTTGGTAGTCAACTTGCTACTTAACTTCAAACGATATTTATACTCAACTCGCCAGGTTCGCAAGTTAACTCCCTACTGTACTTGTCGAAGTGTAAATCGGTCTTTATTGAGGTTAATACAGAACAGACGTGGCGGTAGTAGTGGCGGATAAACAAATGAGTATAAAATAGACCTAATCTATAATAATGTTACGAGCTAGGGGTTCGTGACAGTAAAAACCTGCCGATTGAATTGCCAAAATTGACACAATGATTTCTTACATTTACGCGAACACTATACATTGATTAAAACTACTTTTACGGATTTTATCGCGTTTTATTTATTTTTAATACCTGACGTTTCGGGTGCTTTCCAGCACCCATGGTCACGGGGGACTGAGGTGACTGACATCCCGATATCAAAGTTAACCCGGAGTACCTTCAGCTTTTTAATTATTGTCTTTGGTCCGATCTACGCAGATTACGGTTAACTTTGGTTAACAGAGAAGATGGTTGGGTGCTGCCATCTGCTTGGATCCTATAATTAACAAAATTAAACCTAAACCCAAGCATACCACTGCAAGACTTCAAGATACTGTAAGTTCGTTTTGCGTAAATCGGACCAAAAATTAATATTCAAAAACTGAAGGTAGCCGGGCTAACAATGACATTGGGACGTCAAACATCTCAGTCCCCCCGTGACCATGGTTGCTGTAAAGCACCCGAAACGTCGGGAATTAAAAATAAGTAAAATCAGTTAAATAAACGCGATAGAATCCGTAAATTTAGTTTTATTCAATATTTATCAGATAATTCACGATTTAATTGTTTTTTTTTTAATATTTATATTACTGAAAAAATAAGCACAATGCAATAATTATAAATTAATCAATAATCTAGAACTTGATTTTATATTCAATTTTATTCGGTTATAGTTTTATATTATTTTTATTACTGTGTCCTGCAAAACATGAATGAAATAATATGAAGATTAAATTTTTACGAATTTACATTTACAATTGTTTATCATTAATTAATTTTTCATATTTTGTAGTTAACATATCACACACATTTTTTTATGTAGTAAATTTTATTTAAATGTACACAATTTTGAAAAGAGTTATAAACGATTTGCTATTATTGTTTTTTTTCTTTTCTAAAGGCATTAAATAAATAATTTATATAATAACCTACCGAAAATATTAAAAATTGTTCTTTATAATGTTTAAATAAATTAATCTACCGTTTTGTGAAGTTTATAGCTGTTATAGTGATTTTTTTTAAAAAGCAATTTTTTTTAGCAAAAGTATTTTTTTTAAACTAATGCATTTTGTGATGTATGTAAAAGTAACATAAATATTAACAATGTAACTATTTCTAAACTTCTGTGTAAATTGAGGAAATGTTTAAAACTATCCTTTTAAGGTACATGTTACTTGCATTCATATTATAAAATATTGTAAAAGTTATCTTAAAATTAGACGTGAATCACACCGTGTCATCCTAGTCCGATGTAATTACAAACGATGCCTTATACGTACTTTGGAATTTAAAACAAACTTGTCTCCAAATATTTGCGGTGTTAGGATTACAATTTGTATTTTGATCTGTGTGATGCTATATTAATTATAATGATTACGTTGCTTAACATTGACTTCTTTGTTTTGTTTATCTTAATGTGAAATGTAATAATTTATTTTCGGTTTTATATTGTTTGAATATTTAAATCATAAGCTTTTAACTATTATAATTTATTATTTTGTTGGAAAACAGTACTAATTTAAGTAGATTATGAAAGTATTTTCTTCGAATAATACGATGTTGAAACTCACTACATATATAATGTTTACACAACTAATTGATTAAAAGTTTGTTGTTCCCATATTGTGAACCTCAATCCCTGACTGACACTGTAACTAAATATTATACGAGATTATTTTATGATATAAAGTAAAAGATGTGATTAAATGTATGGTTAAGTTACGGAATACATAATTATAAATGAAAATATTGATAATGTATAGTTGCGAGAGTATGATAAAGAAAATTATCGGAGGTTAGTATATCCACATACAATCAGCCTGATCAGCTGGGAATTTGAATAACCTAATAGCCGATTAATTTTTTAAGGTTGTTCGGACACGATTAAATGCGGAATAAGTTTTAATGTATTTTAATGAGGTAAATGATAATTTATTATGAATTGTATAGGAATATTGTCCACTATCTTGATCATGTAATAGTGGAGACGAACTGTCCACTATTAACAGACTCCGAGTGGTTTTCTTTAAGGTGGAGAAATGAAACTACTATTTATGTTTATGAATGTACTGTCGAATGGGATTCGGAATGGAATATCTTTTGCATCAACCTTGCCTATATTTATATGGCTGGCTCACTATTGATTTGCCAATGGTAACAATTAATATTTTGCCTAGCCAATTATATTGCTTATTTTATGACCAATGAAAACTATTTAAAATATACAATTATCTACGTTTCGTTTCCCGGCGTGAGACTTGTTTGTTGTTCACGAAGCTACGTCGCTGGACCGGGCTATATAAGACATGCAGATCGGTGCGCACGCGTAGTCGGCGGGCGGCGGCGGTGTGGAATACAGCTCCGGAACAGCAAGAGGAAACGAACTGCGGCGTTGAAGAAACGGCTCACCATTGGTCGACGGATACGTGACGATAGCGGCGTGTGAAGTCGGTGTGGCGCTGAATGATATTTGCGGCTGCTTCTTGTTTCTTTATAAGAACGTCAAATTATCTATATACAGTCCGCAGTATCTCAGTAGCCAAGAATAATTAGGAAATAAAATGTTTTTTTTATTTATTCTCGCCTTCCGCGTTATGGTAGCAGCGGAGTATATATTATTTATTCCCGTTTCGGTTTGATTAATCTGGCTGCTACATCACTCTCCCCCCAGCGAAAGCGTACCGGAGGCTTGACGACTCGCCCGTATTTCGTAGTTTTTAAAATAGGTTTCAACTGGGTTGATGTAGATGATGAAGTTTCAAGCTTCCTCGCTGGTGGTTTTGATGATGATGATGAATCCTCTGCAGTATCCTCGTTAATAATATAGGCAGGCTTTAGTCGGTCGATCGATATAATCGTAGATTTCCTTCCGGGTATTTGTAGTTTAAAAGTCTTGCTATTTCTCTCTAATACTTTATACGGTCCATCGTAGGTAGGTTGAAATTGTTTTTTCATTGCGTCGTTTCTTACAAAAACTTGTTTGCATGTTTTCAAATCTTGGTGAATGAATACTGATTTATTATTTCTGTGTGATTGCATTTCGGTGCATTTCAACGATAAGGCTTTGTTAATTGATTCTCGAAGTTTAGTTACGAAATCGTAATCCATTTCTTGTTTGTTTGACGCTGCTGAACTGAAGAAGTCACACGGCAGCCTTATGCTGCAGCCGTAGGTTAGCTGAGCGGCGCTAAGACTAGTGTCTGCACGCGGTGTTGCTCGTAGTCCGAGTAGCACTGTAGGTAGCTCATCAATCCACTTTGTATGTTGAGATAAACGAGTTTTGAGTGCAGTCTTTAATGTACGATGCCATCGTTCGATTATTCCGTTTGACTGAGGATGGTATGCTGTTGTACGCGTCTTCTGTATTCCCATAGTTTGAAGAAGTTTGAGGAATAGGTTGCTTTCGAAATTCCTTCCTTGATCCGTTGTGATGGTTTTAGGTGATCCGAAACGAGTAATCCAATTTTCATAAATTATCTTCGCGACGGATTCGGCTGAAGTATCATCGGTAGGTATTGCTTCTGGCCATCTTGTTGTTCTGTCGATCATTGTTACGAGATAACGATGTCCTTGCGGTGAAGTAGGTAATGGTCCAACGATGTCAACGTGCAAGTGTTCGAATCTCTCCGTGGGTGGAAATGTAGCTAGACTACTTGATGTATGCCTTTGTACTTTGCATTTTTGGCATTGAATGCATTGCTTCGCCCAGTTGCCAACATCCGCTTGCATTGCAGGCCAAAAGAATTTTTCAGTGATGAGTTTTCTTGTTGTTCTAACACCTGGATGACTAATGTTGTGCAGTGCATTGAAGACTTCGCGACAACATTCTTCTGGTATGTATGGTCGCATGGTTGTCGTTGAGGCTTCACAGTATATAGGTAGATGCGTCATTGGCATTGTAACTTGCTTGATGGACAAATTACCTTGCTTCGATAGATGTTTTATGTTGTCACTATCTCTGTCTTGTGCTGCGGCGATCTTATGATAGTCGATTGATGTAGGGCACGTTACACTGTCGATTGGTACGCGACTGAGTGCGTCGGCAACTATGTTGTCCTTTCCACTGATGTGACGTATGTCGGTCGTGAATTCACTTATGAAAATAA